CCGCAGGAGCCCGCGCCACCAGAGGCACGCCACCAGCCAAGCCCACCGTGACTGCTGCCGGCGCTGCAGCGGGAGCGCAGCCTAAGCGCGGAAGGCTGAGGCGTCCCCGGCCTCGAGGCCGGCCGGCCAGCACGGAGCGGGAGGCGGAGCCTCGGCCCCGCGGGCCAGAGCGCTCGCCGGGTCGCGGAGCGTGCGCGACGGGGCGCCGGCTGGCTGCAGGCGCGTCGGCGCGAAGTGGCATCCGACGCACGAGCCCGTGGCCAGCTGCAACGGGGCCCTCCTTCTCAAGAGCTCGTTGATCGCAGTCGATGAGGAGCGGCCCTTGCTGATGGCCCCGATCGAGACGCGGGAGTCCAGGAGGAGGTTGTGCTTGCAATCAGGGAACCGTAGGCCCTGCTCGTCCACCGCGTCGCAGGCCGCGTCGATCTTCAGCAAGTTGATGTGGAGGGGGTTGCGGAAAAGGCGATGGCAGCGCAGCTGCCAGGGAGCGAAGCCGACGTAGTCGTTCAGCCAGAGGGCCTCGAACGCTCCAGCGGGCGCCGAACTCTCCGCTGGTGGCGGCGGCGGCGGCCCGCCCAGGTGGTCGGCGATCAGCTTGGACAGCTCGTCGCAGAAGCCGTGCGGGTAGAGCGCGGCTTTGGGAGTCAGGCCGCCCTCCAAGACGGTGCGCCTGTGCCCTCCGCGACAGCGCCTCGCCATAGGCGCCAGCCAGGAGCCCCGCACGACCAGGAGGCTAGTGTCCTTCTTCCAGGGCGCGCCGAACTGGCACATCGAGAGGTCGAAGCGGTCCACGACCTCGTGCGTCAGCAGGAACTCGACGATGTGCGTGCACCAGGAGTAGGCCGTCAGGGGATGCTCGTGCAAGCCGGTACCGTGGCCCGCGATCAGGTGGGCGAACAGCGCCAGCATGCCCACCCTCAAGAGGACGTTCCCCAGACGCGTCGGGGTCGAAGATGGGTCGAATCCCCAGGGCCGCATCCTGGACCTGAGCCTCGGGTGCCTCGCGATCGAGAAGCTGGTGCATGGAACCTGCGATATGGTCATCTTGACGCGCCTCTGCCAGATAAGCCATACTACCCATTCCGCCAGGCGCGAGTCGACCAGGTCCCAGCACTGGTGGCACTTGATGTCTATCCTCGGGCCCGTGCGCAGGCCCCGGCCCGAGAGGTAGCCCATGAGGCGGGCCTCCTCCCCGCAGCAGAGCTCCAGCACGTCGAAGTACTCGATGAGCGAGGCCGTCGGGTCGACGACGCCAGGGGGAGGTGCGGCATCCCCCTCCAGGTCCTGCAGGACGGCGCCGTCCTCGGGGTTGGCCAGGGCAGCCCAGCCGGAGGGGTACAGCCACGTACGAGCGCCTCGCTGCTCGCGCTGGCGCCAGAAAGCTCTGGCGGTGGGCGCTGAGGCAGGCGTCTTGACGGACGCTCCGGCCAAGTGCGAGGCGTCCGAGGCCAGAACGTGCGGCCCCCAGCCCGCGGAGAGGTCGGTGGCCATCAGCGGGAGGAGAACCGCGAACCGGGCGCACTCGTTGCAGGCCGCGCTGCTCAGGTCGAACACCTCGCGCGGGTCGCGGCCGACGTCGACCTCCTTGTAGCAGTGGTGAAGGAGCGACAGGGTCGGCCGCCGGAACAGCGCGGCAAAAAGCCCCATGCCAAGGAACCTCTGCAGCCCCAGCGTAGTGGAGCGTCGGCCCCGGGCCATGGACAGGCCCATCCAGGCCAGCGCCAGCCTGCGGGCGCGGGAGGCGCCGACGAGCCGGTCGTGGCCCAGAAGCTCTGCCCCGATGACCGTCGCCTCCGCCGCGTCCTTCACCTCCTTGCCAGCGCTGACCCTGAGGCCAGCCTTCGCATAGCCCTCGCGCGCGCGGGCGAAGGACTCCTCGATAGCTCGCCGAGCTTCCCGCGAGCCCGGAGCGTCGACAGCCAGGCCGAAGTGGTCGCCCAGCACGACGCCCTCCCAGGCGGACCCCTCGGGGGCAAGGTGGCGGTTCAGCACCCGCCGCTCTGGGGGGAAGCTGCCAGCGTGGGCGAGCAGCCGCATGTGGGACTCGCACGCCCAGTCGGGCGCGTTCAGGCCCCCCATGATCAGGCCGCCATGGCAGGGAACCACCTTCTCGGGGAGCTCGCGGCCCTCACGACGGCAGCGCCCCCGAAGCCGGCCCAGCGCTGCGAAGCCCTCGTAGAGCCTCGTCGGGAGGGGGAGCGCCACGTCGCTGGTGCAAGCCACGTCGTAAGCGCAGTCAAAGGCGGGGTAAAAGTCCTGGAGGTCGTCCGCCCAGACGCGCAGGACAAAGCCAGCAGGCACCTCCAGGTCCACCAGCACGGCGGCGCTCGGGGTCAGTCTGGAGAAGCCGCCCAGCGGCAACTCAGCCGAGTTGCGAGCGATGCGATTGAAGACGACCCTCTGCGTGTTGGCGTCCTTGAACACGGGAAACAGGGCGCCTCGCAGGGCCTGCGGGGAGTCGGCCGCGTCGACCAGCTCCAGTCGCCCCACGTCATCCCACTGCTTCAGGTACTGGAGGAGGTCGCCAGGCTTGCCCGCCTGGCGGGCCAGCCTCGCCGGAGCGGGCCGGGTCGGGGGCCCGACCGCGCGCGCCACAGGGCCGGCACCCGGTCCATCCCGCGCCAGCAGCCGCGGCTCCAAGAACGTGGCGGCGGCAAACGAGCCAAGAACGCCAGGGGGTCGAAGTGGCACTCGGCCTTGGCGAAGGGAGCCTTGCTCGGGTCGATGGTCGTCACCTCGCAGTCGGGAGAGGGCGCCACGGCGCCCAAGGGGAGCTGCATCGCATTCAGGAGATAGTCGAGCAGAGCGTCGGCCTTCTCCACGCGGCCACCTTGCCATTTCAGGGGCCGGCACATCGGTCGCACAAGCCTACTCAGCCTGGACACCATCTCGGACTGAGACGAACTGAGAGGCCTCCCCGCGCGGGCGCGCGGCGGGCAGCTCCGCGACTCACCCAGGTGCAGGTGGGAGAGCGCGAGGACGACGGCGTTGACCCACATGTGCTCGACGCGAGTGCGAAGCCATCGCCTGCGAGCGCGCACGCCCCGCGGGGGGGTACCAGCAGCCCACCCGAAGGGCGGGGGGCAGGGCAGCAGACCGGCGGCAGGAGTCGCAACCTCCTGGAACCCAGCGGCGTGCATGGAGGAGCGGACGAAGGCGCCGAAGGCCGTGCGGAGCCCGCGCAAGCGGCGGATCAAGCCGAAAACCCCAGCGGATGCCCACGTCCAGCGAATTGCTGCCGCCCACCAGCCTCCTGCGGTCCCCCGCGCGTCCGCGCGGCCAAGAGGCTGGGGCAGCGTCATGCAGAGCTCCCGGGCCAGCCAGCCCAGGGAGCCCCGCTCTCACTCGTGAGGGGGCGCGCCAACGGCCTTGCCTTGGCGCTTCGAGCCCCCCCCCTTTCCTCCGCCCCCCTCGGCCTTCTGTGCTGCAGCCGGCGCCAGCTTCCGCTCCGCGTCCTCGAGGGCCAGCGTGTCCTTGGTGTAGCCGATCGCTGCCGCGACCCACTCGGGCGAGGCCAAGCGGGACATGGGGCGGATCTGCCCGCGTGCCGGCGCCTGACGGATCGAAGTCCAGGGCGGCTCGGGCAGGTGAGTCAGCAGCCAGGCTGACGTCCAGCGCCATTCCCTCAGGGCCGCCTGCTCCGACGCGCAGAGGAGGAGCGCCAGCTGAGCCTCGGCGGCGCGCCACAAGCCGCGCTCCATCAGGTCGAACACCTCCGCCATGCCGAACACCAGGAAGGCCGACGACCTCGCCTGCCCGAACGGGACGTTGCGAGCGAAGTAGTTCCGCGTGGAGTCGCTCATGCCCTCCTCGCTCGCGGCACCCGTCATGTTGAGCTGGCGATTCCGCCTGGCCATGGCGGAGACGGCCTGGGGGCTGCTCTGGACCTGGCGTCGGAACAGCTCCAGGGCGGCAGCGCCGCGCGCGCCGCCAAGTCGCATGCCAGTGCTCTCGCCAAGCCCGTCGTCGCCCCCGCCGTCCGCCAGGAGCGACAGTGCGTCTGGTGGGCGACCGCCGCTCTGAGCCAGGGCACCCATCAATGACGCCTGCTGGGCCAGCAGGGCCATCAGCTGCTCCTCGCGGCCGCCGGCTCCTGCGGGAGCCAAAGGGGGCTGGGGCTCCGCGGTCTGGCCCGCCAGCGGAGTGGCAGAGCCGCGCGGAGGCGGGGGCGGAGGGCCCGGCGCCGGAGCAGGGCCTTGGGGGCCCGCGGCCGCCTGGCCGGAGGGGGGCCGCTGCAGGAACGGGTTCGCCGCGCCTCCCCGGCGGGGCGGAGGTGGCCCGGCGGCGGCCGCAGCGGCGCGCGCGGCGGGCAGGCCCTGGGGGGCCAGCACCCCGCCTCCGAGAGCCGCCGACGGAGGACCGCCCAGGGGAGGAGGGCCGAGGAGCCCAAAAAAGGGCGGGGCCATGCTGGCCGCCGGAGGCGGGCGGCCGTCTAGAGGGGCCGCCGCCTTCCGAGCTGGCCCGGCGCCGGCCTCCAAGGCTGCGACCCTCTCCAAGAGCGCGTTCTGCCCGACCAGGATCTGCTCCGGGACCTGCTGCTGCTGCTGCGGCGCCTTCCTGGTGGGGGCCTTCCTGGTCGGCGCCTTCGGGGCGGCGGGCGGAGCAGCCGGCTGCGCGTGCCAGGCTGCCCGCTGCCGCTTCAGCTCCGCCACCTCCGCGGCCAGGCTCCTCAACTCCTCGACCGCACCGGCCCGCTGCTGCCCCAACAGCTCGCCCGGCGGCGTCGTGGCGGCTGGAGGGAGCGGAGAGGCCTCCCCGGAGAACCACGCGCCGAACCCAGCCCCGGCGGCCGCTGGCTGCAGCCCGGGCGCCAGAGGGAGGCGGAGCTGCGGTCCGAAGGCGGACGGCGCCGGCCCCATCTCCTGCGGTGCGCCTGTCGCCTCGAGCGCGGGCTCGCCAGCGCCCTGCAGAGAGTCCAGAGTGGCCAGCATCTCGGCGGGGACCGCGTTCACAGCAGCCACTGGGTCGGGCCACCAACCATCGTCGTGGAAGGCGTAGACCTCGCCCTCGGCAGGGGGCGCGGGGGAGAAGCGCCTCACCAAGGCGCTCGGGGCCTCCATGATCTCGGCCGACAGCAGCTGGCCGTCCAAAGGCGACCCGACGCGATCCCAGGCCGGCAGATGCATCGCTTCGTAGGCAGTGTCGAGCCGGCCCGAGGGCACCACCGCCACGGTCGAGAGGGCGTCGGCTCGCACTCGCAGCGCTGCCACCGTGACCTCGTAGTCCGAGTCGACGCCGTCCTTCAGCGTGAGGAACCCGAACTCCCCAGCGATCCCTCCAGCAGCAGGGGCAGGCAGCAACGCCGCGGCTGCCACGTTCTGGGGCGTGGCATGCCCAAACCAGGCGCTGGGGTCCTCGTCCTCCTCCTCGCCCGTGTCGAACGCGTTCTCCTCCTGAGCCATCCTCACCAGCGGTGGAGGGGAGGCGGCACTGGGGCGCCGTGGTCGGCCTCGGCGAGGTAGCCAGCAATCGCCTCGTCCTCCGAGGTGAAGCGGCGCAGGCGGTCGCCGCGGAAGGAGCGGTACCCGCCGATCCGCCCGGCGATGGCGTCCCAAGCCCGCCGAGCGCCGCAGTGGACCCCCACGAGGTCCGGGGCGGCCGGGCTCGCCCAGACCGCGTAGGCCCAGGCCTCGGCGCGCGCCGCCCGGGGCGCACGGAGCGGGGCGGCCGGAGTCGGGCGGGGCGCCGGCCCCACGTGCTCCGTCTGCGTACCCACGTCCCGGGTCGCAGGGCCCGCGCCAGGGGCCGCGCCGGCCGGCGAGCCGCCGGCCCCGCAAGGGGTCAGGTGCACGTTGACGGTCTGCACCGCGGGCCCAGGCGCCGCGCTGCCCAGAGGGGCGCCGGCCCCAGCAAGGGAGGCAGCAGGCGCCCGCCGGCTGCACGCGGACGCCGCAGCCGCCAGGAACGCGGCGAGCATCCGCTGGAGGGTGCGCGGGAGAGACGGGCGCGCGAGGGCGCCCGCCGAATGAGAGCTTGAAGCCAGAGCCCCCGCGCGTCGAGGAATCACTGCAATCATGTGTGCGTATGTATGCGTGTGTAATGTATGTATGTATGTAGTGTTGTCTGTATGTGTGTGTACGTACGTACGTACGTACGTACGTACGTACGTACGTATGTATGTATGTATGTATGTATGAATGAATGAATGTATGTATGTATGTATGTATGTATGTATGTATGTATGTATGTATGTATGTATGTATGTATGTATGTATGTATGTTTGTATGTATGTATGTATATGTATGTATGTATGTATGTATGCATGCATGCATGCATGTATGTATGTATGTATGTATGTATGTATGTGTGATCGTATGTGGGTGTGTACCTATGTGCGTGTGTGCATATATGTACGTATGTGTGTATGAATGTATGTATACGAACGTACATATATACATGAATGCATGAATATATATATATATATATATATATATATATATATATACAGACACATGCGACTTTACAAACATACATGCACACGTACATTCATTCATGCATATATACATGCATGCATACATACATGTAAATGTGTATATATACACATATGCACATCGTCTGCAAACATGTGTAGATACCTACACCTGTTTATGCATACATACGTACACACAAAACCTACATGCGCATATCTGTGCAAGCATCTTCCCGCACGATATATACATTCCACTTATGAGAGCGTCGGCCCGACATGGGGAAGGGGAGGAGGACAGAGAGGGAGAGCCATACAAGCAGTGGGCGACGACGACAGCCGAAAGTGGGGTCCAGGTGATCGAAAGCGTCTGCTCTGGGGGTCGAATCTCCGTTGCGAAGTGTACGGCGTCCAGACTGGAGGTCGACCCTCCGCTTGAAAAGGTTTTTCATCCTCGGGTGCGGAGGCCGGGCCACCGCAAGCGGGAACCGCGGCGGGGCCGGGGTCGCCTCCCTGCCCACGATGCTGATGATCCTGGCTTTCGGGTCGTCCGTCAGGTCGCCGTCCGGCCCCTTCTTCTTAAAGAGGAACGACAAGCCCTGGGGCACTGGGCTGGACGAGAGGCCGAGCCGAGAGGACGAGGGACTCAGCGCCGCGACATGGGAGGAAAACGGACGAGAGGAGGGGCGACGGTGATGACGACGGCGACGGCGGTCATCGCCATCGCCATCGCCAGAGGACGCGAGGAGCCGTTTATGAGGCTTTCCAATCGAATCCCATGGTAATGATTCCCAGCGGATCCCTGTGGCGAGGACATAGAATATCTTTGCTTCGCTTTCCAGAGGGGGTTCGCTTGTGATGCTTAAGGAAGATGCATAGAATGTGCACGTGAGATAGAGGCAAAAGGAGAAAACGAAAGAGGAAGTATAAGGATAATGATGAAGACAAGGCTGAACGCTTGTAAAATCTCCTCTAGTTCCAGCCCCATGTCGTTTGGCACAGAGCTGGAGTTCCGAGGACAATGCTCGGGGGGTCATCTTTTGTAAAGACGCTGGCGAAGAGTGAACAAAAGAGAGAGACAGGTAAAAAAAAAGCAACAAGAGAGATGGAGAAGAAGAAACAAAAAGATCACGATAAAGAGAGCGAAACAGTCACGAACACACGGTAAAACATCATTCCAAACAGTGAGGTCCGCCACAATCCCCTAGCCTCTGTCCCTCCACCTGTTCCTCCTCAGGCCCCTCCTTCTCCTCCTCCTCCTCCTCCTCTTCCTCCTCCTCCTCCTCCTCCTCCTCCGTCTCCTCCTCCTTTTCCTCCTCCTCCTCCTCCTCCTCCTCCTCCGCCGCCCCCTACGTATTCCTCTTCCTCCTCCTCCTCTTCCTCCTCCTCCTCCTCCTCCTCCTCCTCCTCCTGCCCCATCCTCCTCCTCCATTACACCCGTTCTCCTTCTCAATAACTTGTCACTGTCGCACCCCGAGGCCAGTTTTTAGGGCGGGCTGGGCGCTTCGCCTGAGACTTTCTAACCATGTGTGACCCTGCAGCTTAGAAATTGACAACAGCTTCACAGATGGAGGGCGGGTGGTTTTCAAAATGTGGCTATCGCCTTAGCGCACCGCAAAGTCGATTTACAACACATAACAATTCCTTCACGGATTGAGGGCTACCCGTTGTCAAAATATAGTTTTCGCTTTAGCGCCGCGCACATTCGATTTGAGAATTTGCGAAAGCTTCACGGATTGAGGGCCGCCCGTTTTCAACATGTGGCTATCGCCGTAGCGCCGCGCACACTCGTCTCGACTATTTGTAAAAGCTTCACGGATTGAGGGCCACCTCTTTTCAACAGGTGACTCTCGCCTTAGCGCCGCGCACACTCGGCTTAAAAATTTGCTGAGGTTTCACTGACTGGGATCGTCTCCTTTTCAAAATGTGGCTCTCGCCTTAGCGCCGCGCGCATTTGTTTCAAAACCTTGCCAGAATTCCACGGATCCCTAAGTCAACGTACCAGGAATTTGTGTTGGAAGGGTTCGGGATTGTGCGGGCGCAAAGTTTACGTTGACTCGCAGAGTTGAAATCCCAGGAACAGCGTTCTGGCACGATTCTGGATCGTCAAAACGCAACAGCGAGGTTGATCCGTTGCGTTGGAATCCCGTCCGTTGCGTTGGAATCCCGGGAACAATGTTTTGGCATGCTTCCGTGTCTTCAAGCGGTTGCCTTCCAACAAAACAGCTCCCTCAGTGGAAATGAAACCTTGCAGGGGCCTAAGATGAGGGAGCTTGGAGGGAGGGTTTACTCTAGCATCGTTGATGAGTCTTGGGTGTGCACTGGTTCTCCTCCTCCTCCTCCTCCTCCTTTTCCGCCTCCTCCTCTTCCTCCTCCTCCTCCTCCTCCTCCTCCTCCTCCTCCTCCTCCTCCTCCTCCCCCTCCTCTTCCTCTTCTTCCTCCTCCTCCTCCTCCACCGCTTCCTCCTCCTCTCTCGCAGCGCCGTCGGGCGTTCCCGATCCGCGCCGCAGCGCGGCCGCGCGCGCCAGGCGCGCCGCGGGCGGGAGGCGCGGGGGCCCCTCGGTCCACCTGGGGACCCTGTTTGGGAAGGGGCCTGAGGCCCACCGAAGGAGAGGGATGAGGAGGAGCTGCCGGGCGGCTCATGGAATATCGAAGCGGTCACGGATGACGTAATACCTTACCTGCATCGACGTACATGGCGTAACTTGTCGGTAACGCTGTTGACGAGGTAGTGCAGTAGCCTCCTGATTGGAAACAGCGCAGTTGTACCTGCAGCGGTCTGGCTTCAGGGTGGCCGCTCTCACAATCATCATCGCCACCGTGAGGTGCCACTGGAAAAGGCAGCGGTGGTTCCTGTAGGGCAGTAAGCAAGCCTCTCATACGGGGGTGCGCAATGGCGGCAAGCCCTTTGTACTCGTCGTAGGAGATGCAGCCCGTCTCGTAGACGGCCTTTGTGCGGCTTCGCAACTGCTGTTCTTTGTCCTATGTGTCCCGGTAATTGGCTGCGATATCGCGTGGACCTCGTGGTCGGAACTTTTCTGGTGGCCGTCGTAGCTCAGCTGGTTGCCCTCGTAGCTCAAGTGGCCCACGGAACTCAGCTGGTAGCTCTCGCAGCTCTGCTGGTGGCCCTCGTAGTTCAGCTGGTGGTTGGGGTAGCTCTGGTCGCAGCCCTCGTCGTTCAGCTAATGGTCCTCGTAGCTCAGCAGTTAGCCTTGGTAGTTCTGGTGGAAGTGATAGTGGCCCATGAGGCTCCGCTGGTGGCCCAGAAACTCTTCTGGCAGTCCTTGAGGAGCAGGGGGTGGATCTCGTAACTCTGCGTGCCCAGGTGGCTCAGCTGGTGGCCCTCCAAGCTCCGCTCAGTGTCCGCGTAGCTCATCTCGCGGTCCTCACACTTACGCTGGTGGCCCTGATGGCTCAGCCGGCTTCTTGAGGCAGATACAGAAGGGTATATTGGCGGACCTGGTCCGCTGGTGGTCCTCGTATCTGCGCGGCAGCTTCCACGTCGTCATTTCCAGGGCCGCGTGGTGGTAGTAGCGTCTTCTCTGTTGGTCGAGGTACTTGCCCTAGCCAGACGGCAGGAGGACGTGTGCTGGTGTGGCTCTCGCACTTCAGCTGGTAGCCCTCGTAGTTCAGCTGGCGGTTGTCGAAGCCTTGCCATTGGTCCTCGAAGCCCTGCTTATCGCCCTGGTAGCTCAGCGCGTGGTCCAAATAGCTCAGCAGGTGGTCCTCGTAGCTCAGCTGGTGGCTCTGTCCTCACTCAGCAGGTGGCCGTTGCAGTTCAGCTCGTCGCCCTGGTAGCTCGGCGGGGGGCTCTCGTAGTTCTGCTTGTGGCCCGCCCAGCTAAGGTAGTGACCCTCGTAGCTCCGCCTGTGGCCCTCGTATCTCAGCTGGTAGGTCTGAGAGTTATGCTTCTGATCTTTGCAGTTCAGCTCGTCGCCCGATTCGTTTTCCAGGAGGCTCAGGTAGGTTTTCCTGTGGTCCGCGTGGTTCTAGTTGTGGGTCTCGTAGCTCAGCAGGTGGCCCTCGTAGTTATCGTAGCTGTGCCTGCGGTCCTCGCAGCTCAGCTCGCACTCCTCGCGCCTCTGCCGGTGGCTCTCGTAGCTGTGCCTCTGGGCCTGGTGGCTCAGACGAGGTGCTGGGGCTCTGCTAGCTCTTGAGGTGGCTGTAGTAGCTGTGCCTGTGGTCCTCGTTGCTGAGCACGTAGGCCTAGAAGGTCCGCTGGTGGCCCTTGTAATTCTGGCAGTGGCCGTGATAGCTCTGTTTGTTGTCCTCGTAGCACAGTTGGTGTCTCCGGCAGCTCAGCTGGTGCTCCTCGTAGCTCGGCTGGCGGCCTTCGCAGCGCAGCAGATGGTTCTCGTGGTTCAGCTGGTGGTCCTCTCGTAGTCCTGCCTGTGGCTTTCGCAGCTCAGCTTGCGGTTCTCGTTGCTCAACTTGGTGGCTCTCGTAGCACGGCAGGTGGGTCTTGAAGTTATTCCGGTCGTTCCCGTAGCTGTGCTCGTGGTTCTCGTAGCTC